TCCAATCTACATGGAGCTCCTGGTGATAGTTATCCAAGGGTTTGAAGTAAAGTGTCATGAATATGCTAATGGCACACAACTCTCTTTCCTTCTGCCATCTGAACCTGTTTTGGTAGTGAACTACAAACTGTACATGATAAATGGATTGCACAGGAAGCTGAATTTTGGTAACCTAGAAGCATTACAGTTGGTGATTCAGACATCTGAAAAATCAGCATTCAAGTAATTATGGACAATATTGCATCTTCTTGAAAAGGATAAGTGATTTGGGATGCTCCCTGAATACAGCATTGAGTCATACATCCATAATCTTAGACTAGTGCCCTGCTTTCTATTGACGTCGCTTTTGGGACAAAGGTAGACAAGAGTTTTATATCTTATACAGACACATAGATATACATCATCCTTAAACCGAAAAATAACTTCACTTACGGTATAATTTCAGTGGGCGCCTCCCTGGATTGCAAGAGTTGGGACAGAACATAGCCAACGCCTTCTTGCACCACCACATGAGGAGACTGGAAACAGAGAACAATACTCAGCCTCCAATGGTTTAAAGTTAAAACAGAGCTTTTGGAATTTACTTATTAGGACTACAACTCCCAAAAGCTCTTGGCCAGCATAGCCAGTGACTGACTATGTTAGCTGGGAGACTTGGGAAGTCAAAGGTTCCCATACAGTCCAAAGTGCAAGTAGGGGACAGAAATGACCATAAACAAAATCAACATAGACTGAACATTCAATGTCAGCATTAACAGAACTATTCGAAATACCGTGTGAACAGTTGTTAAGGTCACCAACATTTCTAACAATACAGTAAAGCAGAAATGCTTACATATCTTGTTGACACACATATCTAGTTAAGAAGACTCTTTGAAATCTTGGTATATTTCTTCAAAAATGTTGGTACCAGAAATTTATAATTTTAAGTAACATGCTCAATGACATTACAAAAAGATAACTGTCTTGCAGCCAAATGTACTCTTTGATGAGACAAGATGCCTAGAAAAGATTGCTTATCACTCACCTGGATACAGGATGCCAATACTGGGATGATGCCTTGGGGTAGAAGTTGCTTCTTCACAGTCTTCATTTCAACCACCAGATTCCCCAGCGTATACAAACACAATTCCTAAAATACATTGGCGTAAAGTGTGTCCCATCACAGAAGAATAGAATTGGAAGAGATCGTATGGGCCATCCAGTCCAACCCCATTCTGCCATGCAGGAAAAGCACAATCAAATTACCCCTGAGAGATGGCCATCCAGCCTCAGTTTAAAAGCTTCCAAGGAAGGAGCTTCCATCACATTCCATGGCGGGAAGTTCTTTCTAATGTTCAGATGGAATCTCCTTTCCTGTTATTTGAACCCACTTTTCCATGTCTTAGTATCACTTGTCTGTTACTGAATATTCTTTTGCATAATACTACAAACATTTCTAGAAACAACCATTTCCACTGTAGCAGCCGAGAACAGAAAATAATATTTCAGAAAGCAAACATTTAACTTCTTAACAGGGAAGACTATATGTATGGGAATTACATAACTTGGTTCTTAACAGCTGAAAGAATCAACAACTTCATGCTAAACTGGGTTGTTGTAGCTTTTTTCGGGCTATATGGCCATGTTCAACTTCATGCTAAACATTTGCAAATGTTCTCAGAACGCAATGTTTGGAAGTCGGAATTCATGCTATTCTTGGTTGTTAGCCTGCTTTGCCATCAAGTTCACAATATTCTCTTCCCCTGCACTTTCTTAGCTTAAAACTCTCAGTTTTTGTATTTTTTTACAGATAGTTTGGGTTTTTCTCTTTTTTGCTCTAGTCTTGCTTTGGTTTGAGAAAGCTATTTTGTCTGGGCCACCAGACCTGCAATAATGTGCACTGAGATATATTTCAGATATGTGCACTGAGGTATATTTCAGCCACTTCCAGCTTAACAGAAAAACGACCAATTAAGCACAGGCTCGGCTCTCACCATGAGGGCTATACTGTGTCCAGAGAGGTAGGTCAGGAGATAGGAGGTTGCTGGCAAACATGCCCCAGCAACATTGGGGTCGCTGGAGTGTGACAGTTCATGTAAACAGCGAGCTGCATCCATCTGAAGATCTGCCAGATTGCTGGTGAAGAGGCCAATCAAGACCCGCATGCTGCCTTCCAACCTATCAAATAAAAATAGGCAATGCCATTTCTTTTTGCTTTAAGATTTCCTATTTGCTACATCGCTGAAAGGGAAAACAGAACATTGCATTCAACCCCAATATCACTGATAATCTACTTGATCCAGACAATATATGTAATTTTGATAGAAATAAAAGCTTTTTTTTCTCATGTCAGGAGCAACTTGAAAAACTGCAAGTTGTTTCTGATGTTGGAGAATTGGCTGTCTGCAAGGATGTTGCCCAGGGGATGCCTGGATGGTCTGATGTTTTACCATCCTTGTGGGAGTCTTGTCTCATGTCCCCACACGGGGAGCTGGAGCTGACAGAGGGAGCTCATCTGTGCTCTCCCCGGATTTGAATCTGCGACCTGTCAGTCTTTAGTCCTGCCAGCACAAGGGTTTAACCTATTGCGCCACCGGGGGCTCCAAGTTATTATTAAAATCATTAGATTACTCATAAAATTACTGGGGAAATCCTCTAAATTCAGTCAGCAGGACTGGTCAGAGATGGCTACCAAAAAATGTAAATTAGGTAACCTGATGAATTTCTGTTGATTTTCTTTGTGCCGCAGTCCGTGCCGAAGACGTCGCAGAGATACTGCCCGGTCTTCCGTTCCTTTCCGGATGTTTTTCAGCAACTGTGAAACCTGCCCATGAACAATACTGAATCAATGGCAAGCCTTGAATAGAAAGCAAAAATATGGAAATGACTGTCATTACAAAGTCCTGCCATAATTTCCCCATAGTATCTACCAAGTTATTATACAAACACATCATAAAGGCTTTTATATGTACAGAATTCTGTCCATTGTATCATATTCACAACAAACTTAGTCAATTGTCCATGACAGAATACAATCACATTTGTTGAGGAATTACACTTCTTTAAAGAGGCACCTGTGACTATACAGGCACTCAGAGATTAATCTCTTGTAACATTTTAACAGCATTCATTGTTGCTTAAGTATACCAGAGCTTTACCAGCATCCATCAGTAATTTTGGGCAGCATGCTAGAAATATCAGAACAGCTTTGTCAGCACTAGAAGCCTACTGAAAGATGCCCGATAAGCATTTAACTTTCCAGATTCTTTTTATTCTTTTTTGATGCCCACCAAGTTTCACATATGATCATTCAAAATAGAAATCAAGGAGGTTCATTGCCTGTGTTTCACACTATACATTGGGTGCACAGTAGAAGTTTTATCTATCCTACTTGCCTCCGTTAGTGCACCTCTAAAGAGTTTCATTCTGAAATAAGGCTAATTACCGATTTTCTCTCTTGCTTTCGATCTGGAGATGTTTCTTGTCTTTATTTATATTCTAGACTAGTGGATCTCAACCTGTGGGTCCCCAGATGTTTTGGCCTTCAACTCCCAGAGCTGTAGGCCAAAAAACCTGGGAACCCACAGGTTGAGAACCACTCCTCTAGAGCACAAGGCATTTAACCCCAGCGGTAGCCAGTTCTCAAGTGATCCTGACTAATACAGACACACACTCCGCAATCTAATTCTTTTGTCATTTATCTTACACTTTATAGGCTGTATTAGACCAGGGCTTCTTAAAACTTTTTCCACT